TTCCAGCTGGTTCCCAATGAAATGTCAGCAAAGACCAAAACTGATACCTGGCTGCTCAGTAGCTTGCACAAACCCAACAGCAGGACAAGAACCTGCAAGAGAAAAGCAGTGCTGATGTTTGTGGTGACATCTGAAGGCATGAGATCTGAAGGCCAAAGACTACCTTGTCAGGGAGAACAGATGGAAGACAGGGAGCTTGGTCTGATACTTCACAGTAGTGTCACAGTTTTCTTTTGACCTAGATCTTGGAGCATGGTGAGATGTGCTACTCCATCTTCAGCTCACTTGGGTAGCTGCTTCATCCTACAACGTGACAGAATCTTCAGATACGCTAACAGAATTGCACACACTATCCTGAATCTGCCTCATTACCTGGGTTTATTCAGGTTAAAGCATCTGGAGTCAGGAAAAAGTAAGCGCCAACTTTTTGCCAGCAGATCTGAAGCACAGCAAACCTCTGGCATGTCAGGCTGTAGTAGTCAGGAACAGCGTGAAACTACCAGTAGCTGCAGGTAAGACCATGCAGGTGTCTCACTGCCAACAGGTTCCCGGGTGTTGCTCTGGTCGTGCTTGAGCTTCCTGCTGTTTGACTCGAGTGTTTGCACTAACCAAACACAACTTGCCACCCTGAGCATGAAAAGCATGTGTATAGCAGTGACAGCTGATAGCCAGGAATCCTGTCCCTATGGAGAAAGGCAAAATCACAAGGAACTTGCTTTTACAAAACCTAATCTTATTTTTGAGAGCTGTTACTAACCAACCACATGACTACCAGCTAAAAAGAATTTATGCTTTCCCCATCCTAATAAGGCACGTGTTCAAGCTACTCTTTAGATCCAGGTAGGATCACACTTTAAAACCTCCTCCCAGGCTGTCGATAGCACCGGCTCATTCTCTCCAACAGAGATGTCGGTCTTCTAAATGGCGATATCAATGCTTGGTCTCTAAGACTTTGATAACTGGCTTAATAAAGGCTCCTTGTTCATCTGGTGATAACAGGAGGCTAATGTTCTACTGCTGGATCAAATACTTTACTCTTTATCCCTTGATAAAGCCTTGAGCTGCATTAATTTGAATTCCAGGGTAGGAGCCATACTGGCAAAAAAGCTAAATAACATTTGAGATTAGTAGAAGCTGCCTGAATGTTTACTTAATGTAATTTGGGATAAGGATACAAACTGTCCTAGTTAGGAACAGTCTCATCAGCAGAAATGAAGGGAAAAATATTTGTGATCAAGATATTGCCAAATTGAGCGTTTTCCTTAGCTTTGAGTTAGCATGTACCTCACTACTGGCACCCTGGTTTAACCTAAAAGTTCTGTGTTAAAAATAGGGAGCAAGGTTTCAAGGAGAAGAAAAAGGAGAAAATCTGTTTTTAATGTCAAGGAATATGAAGCAGCAATACTAAAGCTGTTTTTCCTTCTCTCCTTAAACTTAAATATGGAGACTTGTAATTCCTCAAATACATCACTGTTTGAAAAGCAGAAATAATCAATCAGTTTTCAAAAAGATAAAAGATATTGTTATTGAGAATAATGGATTATTCAAGCACTAGTGAGAATTCATTTCTAAAAATTCTGCTCTTTTAATACATACGATCTCTTTCAAATTCTATACTAAAGCATCAGTTTTAAAGTTTCTCCTGCCTGTTAAGCATGTTATGATGTTTTAGCATAGGAAAGTCACAACTCAAATGTCCACTTGCTGGCACTTCTAAAAGTAAAGTCACAGAGATATTTAAAAAATATACAGTTGTTCAAAATTCTTGCAACGTAAAGAGAAATGGGCAGGTACATTTTTGCCTTCAAAAAGTGTCCTTCTAACCCAACATCTGGGTCAGTAAAAAGCCACAGTATTTGGGAGTTCTGCCTACAAAGTCATTTTCATTAGTTAACCAACGTTGACTCTTACTTGCTAAGCTGGTGGAAATCTGGGTGTGCATACTTGTAACTCCCCTCAGCCTAGCTTAAAGTCACTTGATGTAGATGTAGCCTACTCAAGCTTTGCTTAGGTACGTAACCTTAATCAGTAAGTAGTGCATTACATACATGGTCCCAGTAAATATCAGTATAAATTAGGTTTTAATTAAATTTTAAACTTTCTCTCAGGCTTTCTCCAGCATAATCACAAAAATCAACTTTCATTACACTGCTCCCACTTGGTATGGTACTATCTTTACTTCAGAAATAGTCTACTTTAATATCTGCAACCAGATCCAGCTTTTTAGTTTGTTGTTTTTTGTTTGATTGGTTGGTTGGTTTTTTAACCACAGTTACTGGATCTAAGACATTTTACAATCACTTCACTTGATAATTATCACATCTGATGACTTAGTTAAGAGCAGGATGTCCCAATGTCCGAGGGCTGGATAAGGCAAGGCAGATTCAGGGTAGGAGATCAGGTCTCAGATGACCTTGGAGATACCATGCTCAGTATACAAGGGAAAAAAGTTCCCTCTGCAGCTGTGATAGCTCCTTCTTGTGGAAATCTGCCTTTGCACTGAGAAGCAGCAACCTCCCTCCTTTAATGGAAAAGGACAGCAACTCTTGGAAGAAAAGAAAGGAACAGGATGAAGTCATCCTTTGAGTAGTTTGTACATGAGGGTTTTTCCCAGTAACCACTAAGGAATGTTTGTTTGAAGCTTTTTTATGTAAACATTCAATATAATACTATCATACACTCAAAATAATCATATTAACCACCTGCTTTGCTTGTTTTTGAGCTCACAGAAGTGATCTTTAGAGTTTTTCATTATTTTTGCCAAGTCTATGGGTGTAAAAATACCCTTTCCAGGTCCTGTACATCAATCTACACCATCAGCTTTTAAAAACCACAAGAATGTGAATATATTTTTAAAACTGTAAATTCTATAAATATTTGTGTAGCTGAATTTTACCATCTTATCCAGTGGGATCTCCAAAAAGCACCTATGTCTTAATTTTCTTCGCCTTCATCCCAGAAAACTAGGTACATGGGGACTTTCAGGTTAGCTTCTCTTTATCTTTAGGCATCTAAGTACATCTAAAAATCTGCCCTGGGAAGTTAGTAGCTTCTTTTCAAGCCTTACTTGCAAGAAACAAACGTTCACTACGAAATGACTGAATTCACAGCAAGCAGGAGTGTTATGTTGCTGGCAGATTCCTTTCCCAGAGACTAAATACAGCAACATCTGCAGTCTGGAATGTTGCTGGTGACCCACCCTCTCAGCTCCGCACAGGCGACATTCCCTCCAGGCACTGGATTTTTTCTACATAGATGTTTTAACAGTCATTCACAAAGACAAGCTTTTAAGCTAAATATTCTTCTTCTCTTGTTTCCTTATTTTCTTACTGAAGTACTTTTGAATCACACTATTTTTTTACTATTTTTACTATTTCAACAGGTCTGTTCTTGTTCTTCTATCATTTGCCTGCATATATATCTAGAAAATGTTTCTCCCTTAGATCACCCTGCAGATAAAGCTCCCATTATAGCGAACGCAAAACTACACCAGCAGGACAAGTGTCCTAGCAAAACACTCTGCTAGTTTATTGCACACAATTCAACAAGTGTTTTCAATGCCTAAGTAAAAAACTGTGATATTGCTCTCCAGTTATAATATAAATGGATCAGTTGTGCAACTCACTGCCACCAGGTATATCAACAACAAGCAGACTGATTCTAGGAATCTTACCTGGGGACATAACAGTTGTTAAACTACAGTATAATATTTCTAGGGGACAATATCAATTCATCAATCCAGGAATATCCTTGTATTGATGTGACAAACCTTAGCCTTCCCCACAGACTTCTCCTTCAAGGAGAAGTGTTCTCCTTCAAGGGGTTTTTTTGTTAATTCTACCAGATAAGGATCATCTTAATGCCATTTGGAGAGTATATGAGAAATTAGGATGTAATTTCAGGAAGACTCGTCACTACTGCCACCAAGAGCATTAGTCCTACCCTCCCCTTTCCTGCTGCATGGCTGTTTGGTGAAACAGATTAAACTTGTCTAATCAAGGCTAAAACTAATTGAGGAAATCTCATGGAACAGCACAGAGGATGGTGCTCCCCAAATATGAGCACAAATAATTAATTTTCTATTTCTGCAGCAAACTTACTTTTATTTTCTCTGTTTCTCTTCGATAAAAATTAATATATATTTAGCCCCACACTTCAAATAGCTGAGGAAGACCAACTGAAATGGCGCCTTCTTAAAACACAAAAACAACAATCAGAAAACGAGATTCCTTTTCTCTTTTATTGGTACTGCCAATGTAACTACCTTTACGCAGGCAGATTGCTTTCCTACACTGAACACTTTTTATTAATCAGTTTGGAAGTAAAGTTTTGCCCACTATGCCTCCTAAGGTTATCCAATTAACACACAGTTACACTTTTAAGAAGTTTCCACATTTTCTCTTTGCCCACTCCACCTCAGATCTGTGTAAAGGTTACTTGGCAAGATACATGCATACGACGTTAAATGGAGACCAATCCACCACTAAAAGGTAATGCACATAAAACGTAATACAGTACTTCGACATAATTTCAAATAAATACCCACATACAAGTGTAGTAATTTTAAATGCAACAATATTTCTTATGAATCAATACTGTAACAGAAGATGGAAATATAAGTCCCCACATCTAGGAATAATAATAATGTTGTTTTTCCAGCAAACAGAAATCTTTTCCCTGCTGTCAATATTATTTCAATTTGTACTTTTTTGAAGAGTGGGAGGGCTCCCCCCCAACAAGTACCAATTTAATCATTCCCGTGAGCCTCAACAAACCATAGAGAGCCAGGTACAGCTTGTTGATGCACTTCTCCATTTCTGTTTCCTGAAATTACAATGATTAGATACCACATGCAAGAGAAGAAAGCAATGTTCTATCGTTCACATTGGCAAACAATGGTTAACTGCATCCACCACCATACGAAGCTAACGTAAGGTCAATAAGGTCAATATTCCTGATCTGTCCTCTGTACTGTTGCCACAAATGTGTTCATACATCTTGCTCATTTGTTCAACATGAGTCCATTTGGTTCCCAAAGTGGATTTGGGTTTGTTTAGGTTTGTTGTGTTGTTTTGTTGTTGTTTTTTTTCTATACCCCTGAATTAGCAAGGATTTACATGATGAAATATCATTGACTAACAGAATTTTTTACAATTCCTTGAATATATAATCTCTATAGTAAAGACTACCCATTAAAAATGTGCGAAAGGGGAGTTCACTTTGCACTTATTGCTCCATGTCTTTACTCAATTCCAAAACAGTCGTTCCATTTCTCCTAAGTAACAGGACTTAGACGAAGCTATTCTAAGAGTCTCCCTTAAAATGATTAAAGGCACTACTGGCAATAATTAATGACAGAAAGGTGCTGATACATAACACCCTATCATTGACAACTTTAGAATTTTTCTTTCTAAATGTACCATAATTTGGCACAATAAAATGAAAAAGTAACAAAACAATTCCAATTTGGAATTTAACTGGTATAGTTGTATAAAATTCTGTTAATCAATAATACTTCAACTTCCTAAAACCCAGGAATTCTGGAATTCATAGGTAATACTACTTATTTAATATTTTTCAAGTGCCTATTACTGTTTTAACCAGAGCAAAGTCAAGTTTTCTTCTTGTTACATTGAACTATTCCTAAGAATAATAATACAATATGAAAAAACCCCAGAATTTGAATACCCTGGATTTCTTAATGAATATGGCAGTTAAAAAAAAAAAAAAATCAGTAATTTAAACATATAAAGCTTAATATTTTATAATAATAAAAAAGCTGCTGAAGCACAGCACACAGTTAAGCAGAGCTCCTGTTTTTTTTGTTGAAACTCTTTTTGAATCATAATCTAGAGCCCTCCAAAAATCTCTGCCACATGCTAATGTAGAATTCAAAAATCGCAAGCCCAAATTGGAGAGAGACTATTAGCACAAACCACTGTGTTTATATAAACTTTTCTACAGAAGGAATTAAAGAAGCTAAAGAAAAATATCAAAATATCAAAAGTGCACAGGTTTAACAATCAGATAAAAAATGAGCATCTGCAATGAAATAAGAAATTCCCCCATCCAAACATTTCTAGTAGATCATGAACTAACATGGTGATCAGTACATTTGAAGTAGGTTTCTTCAGCACTTGTAAGTTTTCTTACTGCAGCAGCACTTATAGGTAAAGCTTGTTTGTTTTATAGCTTCAGACATAAAAGGAAAGTTTCAGGTAGTACATAGGAAAAGGTGTTTTCAAAAGTTAGGATCGGGTCAGTGGTTTCCGTTCTTTGTGCAATGGGCTATCACTTTAACCAGAATGAAAGAGGCTAAGAAATGCCGTTGCACTGTTGGAAAGGCCTTCTCCAGGGACTACTCTACAGCTGAAAAATGGAAAAATAAAATAGCATTAGGAAAAAAAAAAAACACTGTTTATTTCTCAATGAAAGAACTGAAAACTTCAAACAACGTGCTGCAAAAGCAGGTTAGTTGGTGGAGGGCGTCCGTTAGATCACTGGGGTAGAAGCAGCCGTTTTAGCTCATAGATGCTTTCCAAGCTGATGAAACAAGGCTTTATGGGTTTAGCCTGGAAGCAATAGCTTTGCAGAAAGAAGGCTTCTTACAAGTACTGAATAAAGCTCTGCTGTTCAAGCACAAGTTCACAGCAAGGAATGTGTAAGAAACATTTCCAGTGGAGCTTTAGGTTCTCCAGAAACATGCAGGTCAGTATAACATGCAAGCCAATGCAAAGACTATCATCCAGAAGAGCCTGTCTCCAGAGGTAGGTGATGGCTTAAGGAATTTTCCATGCCTTATCTCAACCCACTGAAAGTGATAAGAAAGACTGACAGCAAAGAAGTTGTTAATCAAGAATTACAAGACTCAATCTGAAATATCATCTAAAAACACAAATAGTAGGATCATGTCACCTTACCACCATTCCTCATTTCTTTTTATAACAGGTGCTAAAAGAAGAGAAGCCATAACCTTGATGAGCTCAAAGAGCAGTCAGGTTTCTTGGCTTTTTTGATTTTTTAAAGATCCACAGAAATAAATGAAGATGGGAATGACTACTAAGTCTATTGGGCTAATAGCAAAATTGTTCATACTTGGAACTGAAAGTGTGAGCCAAGACTGACAGTAATAGTCACCGTCTCATAACATTGAAATCGTTACAGAAAGTTCCAGTTAATTTGAAAAAACCTCTAACAATGCATTCAAATAGTTTCTTTTTGCCATTAGCATTTTGCAAAAATACTGCCGTTAGAGACACGGAAGCAGTGGAAACTGTATTAAAGCTCCCTACCATAGTGGAAGCAAAACTGTAACTGTTTCTATTGGAGCAAAGGAAGTTAGCACTCAAATGCCTGATTTTACAAAGTATTTTTAAATTACAGTTAATGCAGGAATGAGAAGAATAAAGGCCTTTTGGAAAATTGTGCAGCAAAGAAGAGAAAGCAGGATTGAAAACTGTTAAAAGATGTCTTGCTTCTAAAATATCAAACCTGCTATTTAGCAATATTAAAGCTCAAATTCAGGAGAATTCAGTGTTTTCTAAAAAAAGTAATAACAGACACACAGGGCCTAGTTTCTCAAGCCAGAACTGCTATTTGTTTAAACTTTTCAAGCAGTGATGTTTGAGCAATATATTAGACTTTAATCACTTGGGGGTGTTTTCCCTCCTCTCAATACTGGTAAATGCAATTCTGGCGTTGGACTGTGACGTTCTGATGTTTCCCAGCTTTGCAGCAAGGTTTCTACAATTCCATTTGTTTCAAGTCTCATAGTGTGAATTTAGAAGTCTTCCCCCCCGCCCCCCTTCTAATATCTGGGAAGCCAAAATGCCACGTGGTTTCCCCTCATTGGGAAAACAAGCTGTGCTCCTCATTACCTTCTATTAGCACTGTGTTATCTCCTGACTACTTACAGGTAGAGCGGCAATGCGCGGGACGCGAGCTGCTGATCATCTGTGAGAAATGGGAGTGAGATGAAGCAGTACCACACCAGGAATATTAGAATGGCTTTAGAAAACGTCACTATCAAGCAGACAGCTGTGCAGTCTCGCATTGCTTTTAGTAATACTATAGGTATACAAAATCATTTGAAAGAGTACAAAATGAACAGGGCTTTACATTAAAACAAAGTTTGAGGCTAGGCACTTTAAAACTCTGGTTTAAAGAAAAAAGTGTGCCTTGTTGTGCTCCACAAATTTCCCACAATTTTAGAAACAACATTTTCAATCTTTTTCTCTTATACAGGCACCAATTATGAAGTACACTTTTATATTATCAAGCGTATTGCAATTAAGTGGCTAAAAAGGCCCCTTAAAAGTTCAATAGCAGACAAAGGTTTATTTGTTTTTAAAGATTAATACAGATACTACGCTACTTCATAAATAATTATTAGCAGAATGATGTGGTTCAATTTCCTGTGCCTATAATGTAGAGCCCTGTGAAACGTGCTTGCATAAGGAATGCAATTATCTTTTCTGTATTTAAAAAAAAAGCGTTCAGAGCTCTGAAATACTACCCTATTTAGATTAATACTGAAAGCTGAGAAAAACTGTTTTGTGACTGACAATAATAGACCATAGTCACATTAATTCTACACATATATGTTGTGTGGCTACAGTAATATATAAACCAGATTCTTTCTGTGTTATGCTTGCAAGGAGCAACATGAGACCACAAAGATCCTTTCAGGACGTGACACTTTCCCACAGCATAACTTCTTAAAGTGGAACTGTCTACCAGGTAGGATCCTAATTCTTAAAATTTTAAGTTTTCTATCAGATGGGGTAAATATTGCATATTTTTAATATAAATGTGCAAGTTACTTCTGGTTAACTCTCTGAAGAGAGTGAAGCAGAGTGTAAATAATGTACCTTACTGAGTTTTTTTTCCTAGCTTTTATAGCCTATAAAAGCTTTAGGACTTTGGTCAGTGGTGATACGACAGCAAGTTCTTAATATCTGCTGCAACAGGCAAATTAATTTTGGTTCCAGTTTCAAAATGCTCTGCATTTTCAAGACATACTTTTAATTTTAACATTTGCTTTTCACCACTTCTTAAGCCACAATAACAAGGAAGGTTTTCTGTTTGTTTCTGCCTGTGAAAGCATTTACTGAAGTATGCTGCAACCCTGGAGAAAGGATCACATTTGTGCTATACAAACTACAATTAGTAGCACCAGATATACTATATCAGGTGTACTCTTTTAACACTTACCATAAACAGCAAAACCCATACGTGTTAATTGTGGAAAAAGCTAATTCCCTTCCACTATTAACTTGTTAATAGCATCCCCGTACTTATGAATTAGTTACAGTTCAGACCACCATAATACAATTTGTATTACCTGGTTCAACAACATACTAGTACAAGTCAACTCACTGCGACATTAGATAGTGGGGATTTACGCTGACAGTTACAGCATAAAGTAAGATGCATAATATGATTTTTCTACACACCTGGTCTAGTCACAATAGATTTTATATTTCTCGCTACAAAAAACCTGGTTGTTAAGGACAGACCCTTCAGATCTGTCTCCGCAGGACCGAGTATGACTTACACTAGGGTTACTGCTCTTGGCTTTGGAAGCAGATTTTGTGCGCACCCTTTTGGACTGCTCATGGTCTAGCTCCAGATGTTCCAGGCGCTGGGTCAGTGCCAATTTCTGCTGGATAGCCATCCGAAGCAAGGAGTTCAGAGTCTTCTTCTCATCCTCAGCTGCTGCAAGCTGCCGCTGCATTTCATCCAGCTGTGTGACATATTCGTCACATCTGCAACGAAACAGATCAATCTTTAGCAATCCTGTTTCCATCTATAAAACACGAATCCCTTGTGTCCAGCCGACATTAGCAGAGCGATAGCTTTGCAGTTGCTTGCATACACACTCCTTCAAATAGGAACTTCAACCAAACGTGTAGAAAATCACAATTGCTTTTCACTGAGGTTCGTAAAATCCCACATGCAGCATTTACATTCATGCCTTTCAAGTTGTAGCATAATTAGCAGCATCCTTAGATAATGAAAATATGGAGCCTGATACAAAAAACCTCCTGTCTAAAGATTAGTAGTCCCTCTCTAATGAGTAGACACAATGCAGTCAAATTACTTTTGTCTGTACTTACACAGGGACGACCACAATGGATCTAAGCTTTAGGCTGGAAAGGGAGTCTGAGGGGAACAGCACTCCTGCTGTAAAATGACCATTACTAAAATGGCTGTTAATGCCGTTTGATGAGCACCTGAACTTCCTAGTTTGTCACTTTACACATGGAGGCCAAATAACAAATTTCCAGTGGTGACTGAACAGCATTGTTAAAAATAAGCATCTTTCATCATTCTACTTTGACCTGCGTTGATTCCTGATGTAAAAATTCTATAAACAGTGTTTTATTACTGTTTTCTCTATAGAAAGTGGCCTTTATACAATTGTTTTCACCATTGAAATTAATGTTAAAACAATTAAGCAAAGGACCTAAGTGTCACTGTGAACCCTGCAGGGGAAGCTCTACAAATGCCTCCAAGCTGTTTCATCTGCAGTCAGTTTTACAGAGCTTGGAAGCTACTTAACTTGCACAGTGCATCTTGAACAACAGAAAAAATTAATGTCTTTACATGTAGATGCATATTTACTGCACACAGAAAACCAATTATCTGTATGGGTAGCAAAATAAATATTCATCGGTACCAGCTGGAATTTAAAACAGCCACATCTGTAAAATACAGCTTCTTCATAAAAGCAAAAATACCAGGAGAGAAATTCTTTTTAAAATCAAAATGGAAAAGCCCCTGACTTCAAGGGACATTTATCATCGCTAAGTAATAGAAAGCAGACTGGAAAAAAAAAAATCACAGAATAAAACTGCATTCACATGCAGATTAATCAGCTGTGCTTATACTGTCAGGTCCTGAATTCTGCTCTCCCTGACTTCACACAGCAGGATTAGGCCTATATTCCTAATTATATTTACTTGTGAAGAGAAAAAGGGAAAGAAAAAAATAGAATTTTATTTTTAGTACATATGGAGATTGAACAATAACCCAGAAATCTTGATTTAAAAACCTGCATGAACTACAACTGCAATGTGGCTTAGCACACCAGAAGGGTTTGAGTTCAGGGCTGGTATGTGAGTGGGAATCTGTCCACTCAGATCTCTGTGCATCCTGCTCGTGAGTTCATCACAGTCTCTCTCATACTGTGGAGCACAGCAGAAACCCAGGCTGTGAGGACTTTCCAAAAACAAAACCAGGAACCTTAAACTTGCAGGAAGCCTGGCACCTGCCCTTTTCACAGTTAGATGGACCTTACAAGGCAGAACCAACCCCTGCAGCTCAGTGCATGGCAGACCAAGTGCCAGATCTTACCACAAGCACCAGAGAGGAACACAGACTGAAGTGGCCCTAGGAAGTCTGACAAGATGAAAATAAATCTTGCAGGTGTAACAGTCCTCACCTCTTATGGAAGGTGGGACCAGCTCCCAGATGAGGGCACCGCTGCAGGAATGAGTAGCCCACAGCATCACTGCTAACCCTGTGTCGTGCTGCTCCCCATTGCCACAGAGGTATCTTCTTCACTTGGGGGTGGGGAGCAAGGCAAAGGCTAAAGATTACCGACAGGTCTGAGGGCTGCGGGGTTCCTCTCCAGTTTTCAAACACACTCATGCCATTTGAGGTGAAAAGCACAAGTCTGGTTACATCCCAAGGTACTTTTCTGCTTTTCTTTCTACCCATGCCTCAGGCCTGATTCCTTCAAAGCTCCACCACTGCAAACCAGAGGGATGTCCCAAAAGTGTTACCAATTCCTTGAGGGATGTAATGCAATTGCTTCAGCAAAACTTGATCTGGCACTTGAGTGACGTGTCCTCAATAGCCCTTGTTTCATTCTCAGTATTACCCTTCTGGCAAGAGATTTCGGCAAGGTGAAATTATGGGGAGGTTCTTTCCCAGCTCCTTTCTTGTGAAACAAAACGTATCCACTTTTTTTGTTCAGAACAGGAAGTTAATTTTCAGCTCAGTGAACTGCTGTGTCAAGACCGCTGCAGCCTCTGCACTCATTTGACTTCCTCCAGAGAAGTACTAATCAAAGCACTTCAAAGGCAGAAGGGGCAGATTTCTCCCCTCCCCACATTTAGAAACGAAAGAGATGATGAAAAGAAAGCAAATCCATTGCAGTAAAGCAGAGTAGGGACTTCCCACATGGTCTGGCTAATGTCCTTTAATTCTCTTCTCTAAATGGTTTTGGTATTACTCTGCCGCTTGATCAAACATTGTCGGTTGTGCCAAACCTGAGAGCTGATGGGTGACACAGGCAAATGCTTGTCAGTCTAGAAGGCAGAAAAGTCGTTTGCACATGAGCCAAGCTATAATTAAAGCCTTACTTCTGGCTCCAAAAGGTTATTGTAGCAAGTGGTCATCTCATCAAGCTTTCTATTAGCACAAAGGTTTCAAACACCAAATGACCATCCTTAGAATTTACAAGGCATTCACTATTTCAAATATCTAAACTAGCTTTCCCCTCCCCGCCCCCCCCCTAAAACTCTATGCAGGGAGTTTTTCCTTCCTTTCCAACCAAAAGGAAGCGTTATCAGCAGCATACATGCAGCTGCAGTTCTTACTGTACCTGAATAACTGTTCTCTCCTTATATGAGAGGACTGGGGGGACGCAGGAGTGTTAACTGCTATGACTACAGAATCACAGAATCCCAGAATGGCCTCGATTGGAAAAGCCCTTTAAGCTCATGGAGTCCAACCATGAACCCAACACTGACAAGTCCCCAACTAACCCATGTCCCTCAGCACTGTGTCTACATGACTCTTCAATCCCTCCAGGGATGGGGACTCCACCACTGCCCAGTCATGAATCCTGGACCTGTTTTCCTCATCTTTAAGTCAAATGAAATGATGCAGCCTCAAAACCAAGCCTTCTCCTGGTGCAGGCATGGCTGTCTAGGGTCAGAGGAACACAAGAAAGACATGGACCCACTGGAGCCAGTCCAGAGGAGGCCTCGAGGATGACGCGAGGGCTGGAGCAGCTCTGCTGTGAGGACAGGCTGCGAGAGTTGGGGCTGTTCAGCCTGGAGAAGAGAAGGCTCCGGGGAGATCTTATAGTGGCCTCCCAGTACCTGAAGGGGCTACTAGAAAGCTGGGGAGGGACTTTTCATAAGGGCAACTAATGACAAAACAAGGGGAAATGGGTTTAAGCTGAAAGAGGGGAGGTTTAGATGAGATATTAGGAAGACGTTCTTCACTTTGAGGGAGGTCAGACACTGGAACAGGTTGCCCAGAGGAGCTGTGGCTGCTCCTCCCTGGAAGTGTTGAAGGCCAGGCTGGATGAGGCTTTGAGCAACCTGGTCTAGTGGAAGGTGTCCCTGCTAATGGCAGGGGGGTTGGAACTGGATGAGCTTTAAGGTCCCTTCCAACCCAAACCAGTCTGTGATTCTATGACGCTATATAAAGTACAGTAATTGTTCACTTGAACAGGACAGGTGAGGGTTGAAATGTTTGCCAGAAGTGGATGCAGACGCTGCGTGCACAGGGGGACTGGGATCTGCTCTACTGCCTTTCTTCTTTCCTGCCTTTCACTGACCCCCAGTTTGATTTTCTCAGGGGGGAAAAAGAAAGTGATCCTCCCTAAGCACATAGGAACAATGAGCATCTAGCACTACTTTAGCTCAGTGCACAGCTAGCAGGAGTAGCTTTGTCAGCCTGTTTTTGTAGTATGTGTATCTATATTTTCACAGCTTTGCAGATGTAACAATAAAAGATCCTTCCCTTTTACAATTTCATTTGCCATGTGCTGAGCTACACCCAGCTGTATATTCAATGCAAAAATCATTACAAAGTCAGAATATAAAATGTCTTTGTTTTAAAAACACCTTTGAAAGAAAATAATTGAGCAATCATGCTTTAAAGGACATGAAATTAGCATAAGCCTGTTGTACATTTACATATTCACAGTTTTAAGTGGATAGTGAACAGATGATGCCTATTTTCTTATGACTGGTAATTAACAACAAAAAAAGGAGCTTAAGGAAACAACTAGATTTTTAAAAACATCAGCTAAAAAAACCCGTTCACATAGAGGACATAATTATTCTGAATGTTAAATATAATTATGAGAAAAAAAATCAAAATCCTCTAAAACACTATCTGAAGCCAAATTATTGAAAAATATAACAATGTCTCATTTTCAAAAGATGCGTACCACTACTTCCCACAAATGCCAGCTGTGCCTTATTTCTACATACCATTTTATTTAATCTTTAGCATGTACTATATTTTATAGCTAAATACACTATTGAATCAATATCTGTTCTGGAAAAAAAAGTGATGTAACCAAATGCACCTGGGTATAATTGTAATTCCCCCCCCCAACCCTCTACAATCAATAGGAGGACCATATGACAACCTCCAAGCAAGCAAGACAGATGTGACTGAAGGACGCCTCTTGAGAGAAGCATCAACTATTTTAACTTCTGCCTTGAGGGATTATATTGTCAACCTACATAAGAAATTAAAAAGCACAATTTTTCAGCTTTATTAAAAACTGGGAAACATATTAGTAGAGAAGGAGTTAAAATGACATGTAAACGAGCGTTGACTGCATTTTGCTATAAGGGATATTAGCCACCTGCTATTTCAAACCAAATCTTTACAACAGAAATTAAGGCTGAATTTTGAAACCTTCCCCCCACCTCCCCTTTACCCCAACCCCTGGTGAAAACCAGCTCATCTGTGGAAAAAGTGCCAGTTTTGTACTACTGAAGGAGGAGGA